GAGGAAGACCAAGGAAAAATGGGAGAGATAAGGAAAGGAGATAGAATAGGTGGTGGAACCGGGAAGGAAAACCAGGAAAGGTGAAGCATGAAGGAAAATTAGGGAAAGGAAAGAAGGGAGGCAAAAGTAAAGAGGAACGGTTTGGCAAGAAAGAAGGAAGATGAGTGGTACGAAAGAAGCAAGACGAGTGGCAGGAAAGAAAAAGGAAGATGAGTGGCACGAAAGCGAGAGAGAACGACAAAGAACAAAACAGAAACGCCTGCAGGAAGTGGGGCTAACGTTTGCCAGTTTTTGTATCCTGAATGTGACCGAACATTTACCTCCTCCGTGAGAAATTAACGAACGGGCAACTAGGCCTAACAATAACTTACACCACCATTTCGATCACAGATGAAATTCTAGACTTTAACAAAATATTAATTCTTAAAAGTCTGAAGCAAACTTTGGACATGCCAGCTATGTTAATTACAGGATGACAGTCATATCAACACGTCACGTTAAGACTTAGAGACTTGACGAAGCGTCTGAGACAAAAAGAATCTGAAAATAAGAGCTTCATTTTCTTGCCACAGAACGGTATCATTTTCCGCCAGCCTTACCCATCAGGCCCGCGAACAATAGAATGTTAGTCTCCGGAACCACTCTATGTAACACAGCTGCAATGTTGTCTGCAACGATATCCAATCAACCGGGTTGTGATTCAGGCGCCAGGCTGCGAGCAGCTGCGTCTAACAGCCTGGTTGACCAACCAGGAAGTACCGGGCCGCAGAGACGCTGTACTCGGTACGAACGAACGGCAACCGCAAGGCAAGGTTTATAAAGCAAATCACTATCACTCTCTTGTTAATTTATAACTTGGATTTCCGTATTAAAATACTACTACTACTACCGCTAAAACTACGACCACTAGCCGACTACCACTACCAACGTTACAGATATAAATACTGTAATAAGAACACAAGCCACGACATCCCTAATATAGGACTAGATACATAAACTATATATTATATAGCTATTTAGGCTACTGTACTATAGCTCAAACACAATAAATCTCAATTAAAATCGCCTCAACTTCTTTCCTATCACAAACAAGTCCATCAACTCCCTCAATCCTCTTCTAACATTGCTCTTGGGCTCTTCAGACCACTGTTGTTGGCACTAATTACCTTTTCTATTAAATCAAAAAACCACATCCGGCTTAACCGACACAAACAAAAAATCTGATGGAAAAGAGAAACCTTTTGATTCCGCTTCAAGTGCACAGTGCACGCGCCTAACGCCCACCAAGAGTACTTAAAGGCGTCTCTCCCACGTCTCACGGTACACATGACCCATAGAAAGTGGTTTTATAGGATGTAATTAGTAAACATCAAGGGGGGAGGGGCTTGGATTGGCAGCGTGTGTCGGGGTGTGTGTGTGTGTGTGTGTGTGTGTGTGTTTGTGTGTGTGTGTGTGTGTGTGTGTGTGTGTGTGTGTGTGTGTGTGTGCGCGAGCGCGCGCGTGCGTGTGGGGTGTGTTCGCGCACGCGTACGCACATTCACCTACTGCAATGACCCATAACCTTCTTGTTTATCAAATTTACATTTAAAACTGCATTGAATTAACTTAAATTATAACTTGGCGTGTGCGTGCAATCTAAAAACTGATTAGCAGCCTTCCCTCGCCGCGCCAAACAAAGGTCTTGCCAATGCAGAACACTCAACAAAGGGAACTCCTCCCCCTCTACAGCTTTTAATTTAATAATTATAGCCCTTAAAAAAATCTTGCAAACGGTCATGTAATGCCACAAGGGTACTCTCGGCCACTATGCACGGACATTGTTTCATTAATAATAAAAAAACGTTTAATGTCTTATTAATCATATATACGTTATCACCCCCCCCCCATTCAATTACGGTTTGAATTTAACGTAACCCAGTTTGTCAACAGATGTTTCAGTGTTTACATTGTGACGATAATCTCCTTCAAGAGATTGAGCCTGCTCTTCCCTCCAAAGTTCGTCGATACATACATCTATATAAAACTAATATGGAAGAAATATTCAACAACGACAACAACATCTCCAAGGTTTGCCAGAGAGCAAAACGTATGCAGCCACGAACACCTGCTCCACCTCAAACCGCCAAACTACCTGTCTTGTCGCCTGCTCCTCGCTGATTGGCTGTGAGTCCAGCTGCAACTGCACTCTACCCACCATACTACTTGATGTCTGGGGCCGCCACGACCTCAGTCTTCAGAATATCCCGTGCTTTCGACAAGTTAACACGTCTCGTTGGTAGACTAAGCCCCAGGCTTACGTGTACTAAGAGAAATGATAGCTTGAAGCCAATATTCCTGCACCTATTTACTTTGTTTGCCACACACTTGTTATTTGTTCACTTGTCTTAACGTAACTTTTCATTTTGCCATTTGATTATTCTTATTACTTTGATTTTATTATACGAATTTGTATGTCCATTTTATTCATGTTTTGCTTTCTTTAACGTAATTAAAATTTCATTGTTAAAATTTACTTGTGTTTTGTGTGTCTTCTCCTTACCTTACCACAGACGAAGTTCCAGAATTTCTATTTTTTTTTCTATGTGACGAGGCCATACCCCTAGCTTTTGAACAGCCGAACACCAACGCGTTAACCGTCACAGCATGATGATGTAACCTAATACGTAGTCGCACGTCAGGTATGGGAAAACAAACTTGTAATATTTTCTGTTGAGCTCGGCTAGGGTTTCTAGGCCGCCTGTTCTAGGCCTTGGCCAAGCCGCCTGGTGCAGACTAGCAGGAGGGGAAGATCACCCCGTTAAGCGTCAACACATTTGGAGGTGAAGATGATAACCGAGTAGCTGTTGTGGGATTATTGTTGACTCGGGTCAGTCCAGAGGAGGAAGAGAGAGGCTGCTGTGAGTTGGGTACTCACAACTCACAGCATCCTCTGTGCTGTGAGTTGTTACCAAGTTATTTTAAGAACAGTGTGGAACAGACATGTATGTGATCAGAGTTGCCAGAAAGTATTAAAAACAAAAATGTGAGGAGACGAAACATCGCTCGCGGTTGTTGTTGTTATACTGTGGGAAACCTGGCAATCTTCCCCCCCCCCCCCGAGGGTCAGGAAGGAAGGGAGAGGAAAGCGAGCCTCGCCGAGTCGTGCCACCTAGCGACAGGTAATGCAGACAGCTGGTCTTTATATCGCGACGCGCGGTATAATCAGATCAAACCAATAAGGGCAGTAAAACATGGAAGCCGCCGCGAGGGTCTGGCAGCCGTGGTGGGGGAGGGAGGGAGTGAGGAGATGGGGCATTGGGGGATTGGATATTTTCTGAGCGAATCCCACCTCCCTATTCTCACGATTACTACAATGAGATGATTCGTCCATGGCCCCCCCCCCTCCCTTGATACGGCTTGTGCAATCTCCACCCACGATACGCATAGACCCCCGCTCCAGTGCATTCAATAGGGCCAAGGATTCGTCCCCCTGCCCTCAGGATGGATCAGCAATGCCCATCACAAACAGTCCGCCGCCCCTCCACTCCCTCCCGTCGACAAGCGGTCAATAAGGCTCGGATGAGGATTACGCGTCAGCTTTTCAAGGCCGTTAATAAATATCCTAATAGGCTGTGTGGGACATTGAACGCGACCAAGGTGCCGGTTCCTCCATTAATACTTATAAACTCTTCTTTTGTGAGCATTAGAAACTAACCTCTTAACTTGAAACAAGCTTTTCATTTAGCCGTTAAAATTTAATACTGACAGTGAATGAGACTCGAAGATAAACAAGACAGAAGCAGAACTGAACCGGCAACCCCCTCAGGGGAACTAAGTGCACTCAGCCAAGTCAGTAAATACCCTCCGGAGAGATTACCTCCCAGAGAGGCAAACACGTCGCTTAGCCTACTATTTTTCTCCCACTTTCTTCTGCTTTTTCATAGAATCTACAGTCAATTTACCTTACTAATAATCAGGGACTACTTGCACAAATGGAAAAATAAATCCTATGTTCGCGTGAGCTTTTTAAGTTTGATTGAAAGGCAGAGTTTAATCTTAGCTGAATAGGCTCGATCAATAACAACGCCAACCACAACGTTCTAAAAGTGAATTAGAGAATGAACTTGTTAAAATACACTTAAATAGGAAAATAATCTAAGCTCGTAGGTAATAGCTTAAAAATCGCGTTATGAATTGTAGACCCCTCGCCTGGAAACCTCGGTTTGTCCTGGAAACGAGACAAAGAGACACGAGACATTCAGCGCCAAAATATTCCTATAATTAGATCCTGTTTACTTACTGCTCACCTCTCCTACTGTTATTCCAGGGAGGGAGGGGAAAGATTTGTTTATTCTGACAACCTTGATTACCAGTTTCTAGACCTCAATCCTTGAGGCATCAACATACCAAATAGGTAATGACATAAACTCAGTCTTCACTTAATACGTGATAAGCCTTGCGTACGATGTACCACATGGCATGGAGGAAGAGAAGAATAGAAGGGAAAGTGGAAAGGATGAATTGGAATGAAGATAAAGGGGCGGCTTAGCAAGAAATGGGCACAAACAAGAAAAAAAACCGCCCATTTCCACTCTCCCCTCCTACGGCGCCCCTCCTTCTCACACCCTCCCGCTGAGTAAATGGGACACTCGATCAATACATGTTTGTGTCCCCTGTAAATCGTTACTTCGGGAAGAAAAGACGCCAGATGGCAATAACCAAGATGGAAATTACAAATTAACAAAAAATCCAAACAAACATTTCATAGTCACGGAAAATACTGTACTTGAATAAAACTAGAAGCCTACAATTGCTCATACAGGGAAAAAACTAAATAATCGCTAAGGATGCACAGGCAGAAATGTACTTAAAGAGCAAGCTAACTGTCAAGTGTACATAGCCCAGGTCTGGCTACCCACGAGTAACAAGGTACTACTCTCCCTTGTATACTGTACATACGAGACACGGCTACTCTTACCAGTACGCGACAAACTACTAGCATAAACGTCAGGGAAACTTACTAAAATGGAAACGAGGCAAATTGGCCATCGTACGACCGGCGAGACTCTCAACAGTAGCAAGACAAATAGTCACAGGAGGAGCAACACCAAACTCAGCCCCCACTAAAGGAGAAACGAAAATAAATATAATTAATAACAATAATAAAAATAAAATAAAATATAATAAAAACAATTTATAATAAAAATTCACAATAAAAATAAAATGTTTGTAATAAAATTAAATGTTTATAATAAAATTAAAGTTCAAGGAACCTTTAATCACCAAAACATTGGCTTCCAGCTCCATGAAAAGTTCCGTTGCAAACCCACCACACCTGAAGTCTTGGTTTGGGTTCGTCCAAACATTTTTCTACTCGTAATAGCCCTAATTCCCATTTAATAAACAAAACACATAAATGATCTTGCACGAAATTAAAAATTTTCAGTCGTCTAGACCTTTCTTTCTCTCCTGACGCTTCTCTTGAATTATACCATAAAAAAACACGTATGGTAGAAACCCACTACGACGGACTACACCAGACTGGGAACACGACAAAGGTCCCCTAGTCGTGCGCTCTAAATAGCCTCGCCTGACAGCCTTCATTCTGGCTCGCTCTCTTATAGCAGGACGAATTTTGGCGAGTGAATGAACGTCCCACTTGCCAGGCTATAAAAATGGATTGCATGTGTGTCTGACTTAAAACTTTATTTGCTAGGTGAATCACATCTCTCCGTGTTGTAATTAATTAATGTTGTTGATTGGTGTGGGGGGGGGGACGACGATTGAGGGAGATTAAGTACTGTCCTGACGAGAGCATTGATGAGACAATAAGTAGATCCCATTCGCCTCTTTTTTAGTAAGTAGATTACATTGTTATTTTCATGGAGAAACAAAACCTCAATCTCTCTCTCTCTCTCTCTCTCTCTCTCTCTCTCTCTCTCTCTCTCTCTCTCTCTCTCTCTCTCTCTCTCTCTCTCTCTCTCTCTCTCTCTCTCTCTCTCTCTCTCTCTCTCTCTCTCAAAATGATCAAAGGCAGTAATCAAGCGACAATTTACGTAGGTGTTTGAATGTAAGCTATAAAAACAAGACCTACCAGCACCCAGGCCACGAGGCGTCCTAGTACTGCAGGCACGTCTGATTTGTTGGGCTCGACAGTGCTTCTCATCCTCATTTTCCCGCCACTTATACCCAATCACTGTCACAGCGTCGCCAACCTAGGTCAATGGATCTCGCCAATCTTCACATTCACAATTGTGCATGTTAGGTTAATTACCAAAGTGGGACCACATAGTTTAGCCACCCACTAATTACATACATCTCTATCCCAAGCTGACCGTATAACTGCTACACAGCACTTCGCCCATCCAATCTCTACTCCTCTAATCTACCCGAAGATTGACGCACTCAACTTCTGTCTGCGCTTTACCCCAACCTGCATCTAAATTTCCCACAACCCACTTGTACCTTTAGCTCCACACACCCCATTTGTACATGTTTTATCTATCTTCCTTCTCGACATTGTGGAGGAGCTCCTCCGTGCCTTAGACTAGCCAGCCTACTGTTGAAGGAGAACAAAAGAACTGAGGACGATAATCCTAACGGTATTACCGCTCGGTCGAAGCCTCTTCCCAGCGGCAGATTACCATAACAGATACGTGGGTCGCTGAGATGTGTAGGGGGGCGTTGGTGGGAGGACTGGTTGTTGCAGGTGGGAGGACTGGTTGTTGCAGGTGGGAGTACTGGTTGTTGCAGGTGGGAGTACTGGTTGTTGCAGGTGGGGAGGACTGGTTGTTGCAGGTGGGGAGGACTGGTTGTTGCAGGTGGGAGTACTGGTTGTTGCAGGTGGGGAGGACTGGTTGTTGCAGGTGGGGGAGGACTGGTTGTTGCAGGTGGGAGTACTGGTTGTTGCAGGTGGGGGACTGGTTGTTGCAGGTGTGGAGGACTGGTTGTTGCAGGTGGGAGTACTGGTTGTTGCAGGTGTGGCGGACTGGTTGTTGCAGGTGGGGAGGACTGGTTGTTGCAGGTGGAAGTACTGGTTGTTGCAGGTGTGGAGGACTGGTTGTTGCAGGTGTGGAGGACTGGTTGTTGCAGGTGGGGAGGACTGGTTGTTGCAGGTGGGGAGGACTGGTTGTTGCAGGTGGGAGTACTGGTTGTTGCAGGTGGGAGTACTGGTTGTTGCAGGTGGGAGTACTGGTTGTTGCAGGTGGGAGTACGGGTTGTTGCAGGTGGGAGTACGGGTTGTTGCAGGTGGGAGGACTGGTTGTTGCAGGTGGTAGTACTGGTTTTTGAGGGGATGTAGTGTGAATATGGTTGATGTGTATGATGATGAGTATGAACAAATGATGAGCATATAGTGAGAATCTGTGGGATGTAGGCCTAGGCTAGTGGTGTTCTTTGGAGTATGGGATGGTAGTGTATAGAGTGCGGGGGGGGGGGGTCATTCGTGTGATGTGTGGGAGGTACTGTGGGTGAGCGTGCAGGCACCGCACATGTGCTGCTGCTGGTGGTGGTGAGAGGGAGTTCATGGACCTGTGTTACTGGTGACGGAGGAAGTGTGGGAGGACCACATGTTTGCGCTGGTAGGCTAGGCGTGACGGCTGGGGAGACGTGTGGGAGAGAGCACTAACCTCCCCCGCCCACCACTGATCGTAAGAAGATCCGCCGATGTGGTCGCTATCGGCAGTGGAGGTCTAGTCTACACCCAAAGCGTCTCCTCACACCCCCACTAACTCCTCCACACAGGCTTGTGGTCTGGCCACGCTGGGTGTAAACCAACGTGTGGCTTACCTGTCACTATTCCTTTTTTGTGTCGCTCTCACAGACTATTATTATTATTAACATCTTTATTGACAAAATTAATTACAATTTTGCCTAATCTGAGGATTTTGATAGTCTTATTAAATTGAGGATAATGCTAGTATTCACAGACTGAGCTGGGGGGGCAAAGCAGGAACGCAAGCCTACACCAGTATCATCACATTTGTTGGTTGAAAGTTATCTTTAAAAGGAGGTGGAAAATAGATGAAAGAAAAGTTCAAATAAAGTAGGTTGGATCCTAAAACAGATCAAGAGGTGGGAACCTGTTGTGAAAGCCGAGCAGAAGACCTGCCACGGAGAGCTCCAAGACACGAAGGTTCACGCATGCCTGGAAAGGGTGGCTGTGCCGTGGTGGAGGGGGGGAAGTCGTGGGTCGTAACCACGCGGGGGCCACGACCTCACTCCTCTACCCAAGATCTCTCCACCCTGCGGCCTGGGGAGACAAGAACCCTCACCAGCCTGCTGCCGTGTTCACGCCTCGTCCCGCCAACCCCCACCTACCAACCTGTCTCTACTTCACCTCCACACAAAAAAGCTTCCGGTTGCCCCCACCTAGTGGACTTAAACTTTGGCAGTTAAATTAGCTTATATTCACGTAGTGCTGCAGCAAGTGGAACTACCAAAACCCTATTAAGGCAGCCCTTTGTGTACCGCCTTCCCCCTGCTTGTGCACTCCATTGTCTACAGCCTCCCCCTGCTTGTGCACTCCATTGTCTACAGCCTCCCCCTGCTTGTGCACTCCATTGTCTACAGCCTCCCCCTGCTTGTGCACTCCATTGTCTACAGCCTCCCCCTGCTTGTGCACTCCATTGTCTACAGCCTCCCCCTGCTTGTGCACTCCATTGTCTACAGCCTCCCCCTGCTTGTGCACTCCATTGTCTACAGCCTCCCCCTGCTTGTGCACTCCATTGTCTACAGCCTCCCCCTGCTTGTGCTCTCCATTGTCTACAGCCTCCCCCCTGCTTGTGCTCTCCATTGTCTACAGCCTCCCCTGCTTGTGCACTCCATTGTCTACAGCCTCCCCTGCTTGTGCACTCCATTGTCTACAGCCTCCCCCTGCTTGTGCACTCCATTGTCTACATCCTCCCCCCTGCTTGTGTACTCCATTGTCTACATCCTCCCCCCTGCTTGTGCTCTCCATTGTCTACAGCCTCCCCCTGCTTGTGCTCTCCATTGTCTACAGCCTCCCCCCTGCTTGTGCACTCCATTGTCTACAGCCTCCCCCTGCTTGTGCACTCCATTGTCTACATCCTCCCCCTGCCTGTGCACTCCAGTATAGATATCCTCCCCAAAGGTAATTTACGAGCTATAAAACTGAGAAAAACAGCTAGATTATAATTGGTTAACATATATTAACCTACCGCCCTTGGCCCGGGTCTACATGCGTCATAATACATTTGGGTTATCCCACAAGCTCCTGCGGACGTCATATTATCACAAGTGGGTCATTATACCAGACTGGATGAACATAGCTTTGTTTAGGCTATGTTACTAAAAAAATAAAGTTGGTAGGACAGAGCTAGAAAGTGATGCATAGAGACTTTTAGGCTGCGGCAGGATGACAGGCGCAACCTAGGGTGCTGAAGTGGTTGAGTCATGCAGGAAGACCTGCCCCCCCCCCCTCCCTCGGCACTGAGAGATTCATAAGACCACTCCATCAATTCTCCCCCCCCCCACTATCCCCCATCCATGCTCCCCCTGCCACAACCCTGGTCGCACGTGGCGGCTTGTCAGGGCGGGCTGGTATGGGACGAACTCTGGGGACACTATAGGCAGGAAAATTTGGTATATGGAGGCCATATAGCCTACGTATAGACATAGCCGTCTAAAAGTCAGAAAAGGAAAGCCAATTATAATACTTCGACACAGAGATTAGTAACGGGACATTAGTCTTTCTGTGAAGTTATAGGCAACAGCATCTCAATATCAAACAGCCTGGTGGACCAAACTCTCACAAGTCGAGCCTGGCCTCGGGCCGGGCTTGGGGAGTAGAAGAACTCCCAGAACCCCATCAACCAGGTATCAACCAGGTTAGAAACATTTATTTATCAACCAGCATGCGTTAATACCTTAGTAGGTTACATAGATAACCAGCCACGTGCTGTACCTCCCACTGACACCCTAGTTCACGGTAGTCGGTCATACCCAATATTGAGGGACGCCCCCGCCGCTGTTACTGTGTAGACCTGTTAGAGGAGAAGCACGTACACAAGCAGCTATATTTATCAGATCACTATTCTCCTCTTTTTCCGGACTCGCATCTCTCTCTAACTCCACACCTGGCACCCTCTCCTCTCCCTAACCC